AGGGTTGGATGCAATTGCGGGAAGAGTATCAGCAGCGAATAAGTTCTGCAGAACGCAAGGTAAGTTATGATATTTATGTTCTCAGTTGTCCTAGATATCAGACTTTAAGATGGTTCCAATTGATAGGCGGTTTCTGCTATGGTTGGTGTTACAATGCCTGCATTTTGAGGGTAAGCTCCGTCTGCAGCTTCTTGTCATGAAGAAGGTAAAGTACTTGATTGAGCTTCTGGAGAACAGGAGAATCGTTCCTATAATATGCACGTTTTATTGATATCGGTCTACGTTGTCTTGATGAGAAGTCACAAAAGGAAACAGGTGACCTATAATATAATATTACTGGGCCTGAGCTTGCAGATGGGTTTGTAAGTCAGGAATTTTCTAAGTCCTCTGACCTTGCAGTCTCTTTTGTTTCCGTGCATGTATCCATGTGATCGTCATCTTCTGATGTGATGAGGTTTGAGGCGACTCGCTCCTTGTCGCTGTTCTTTCTAAACGTGAATGTCTTGCTCATTCTCTCTGTTGCTTTGCAGGTGTATGCACTTACAAAGGAAAGAGACATGTTACGGAGGGAGCAAAACCGGAAAAGTGATTCCTCAGTGCTGCTAAAAGAGAAAGACGAAATCATTAAGGCAGTCATGGCTGAAGGTTGTTCTCTTACAACACATCTCCGCGCAATTCAGCAACTTTGGTTTCACTTACATACATAGTCTAATATGTCACTACCTCAGGTATGACCTTGACGTTTGTGTCAACGTTTTTCGCTTCATACAGGTGAAGAGTTGTCCAAAAAGCAGGCCTTCCTTGAAGGCACAATCAAAAAGCTCCGCACTCAGGTTCGGGAGCTGGAGGAGGAGAAGAATCGGTTAACGTCTAAACTTCAGGTATGTTTCTTAAGATCATAAATGTTTTTCTTTCACCTGCATGTGATTGATCATTCAGTTAGAAACAATGGTGTGTGTGTGTGCTTTCCGGATCAGTAGGATTGTGTTTATGAGGCCACACGTGGACATTTGCTGTTTCGATTGTTGGTTCGGAAAGTTTAGGCTTAATGATTCAGTTCAATAAAGTTTCTTACATGTTAGTTCAAGTTGGAAGCAAGTATGCATAAGCAGGTTATCGCATAAGAAGTTTTTCGCATTGCCGTATCACGTAAAACCATATCCATTGTTCCCAGGTAGAGGAGGCTAAGGTGGAGAGTATGAGGAAGGATAAGGCAGTCAATGAGAAGGCTCTGCAAGATGCAGTGGAAAAATGCCAGGTTGAGCTGGCTTCCCAGAAAGAACTCTACAATAATGCTCTCAATGAATCAAGGGAAGCTGCAGCTCTAGCTGAGGCTCGAGTTGATAATGAAGCCCGGGCGGATTTGGATAGGCGATTGAAAGAAGCTAGCGAGCGGGAAGCAACCCTTGGGCAGAACATAGATGAACTCCGTCAAGCTCTCACACGTACTGAGCAACAGGTCCATTTCATGCCCTACAGTTATTTATATTTTATTTTTTTTTGTTTTGGCTTTTTTTAATACTTGGGCCTGCATATGGTTTGTATAGTTTGAGGAGTGGATACAGGTCGATGCCCCGTGAGAATCTTTACATCATCCCTTGTGACTTAACACGATAGAAACTGTATTTGTCGTCTAGACCATCAATTCTCCAGTTTTGTAGCTTTTGTATTTCATATCAGCTCTGGACGATCTTACCTCTACATCTTGCGAATGTCAACTTTGTTGTCAGATAGTTTCACTAGACAAAACTATATGGAACAGCGTTTGTGCTCATGAACCTAGCAATAACAATGAACCACATAGTGTTTTCAAGGAAGATAATTTAGGTTTATATTGTGCCAGGGAGAGCGGATCCTCAGTTTCAGCCTTCAGTAAGTCTAATTTGTAAATTTGTTGAAGTTGTTTCTCCTTCAACCACGATTTTCTTTTGTTCTTAACGTTTCACTTAAGCAGGCTGCGTTCCGAGAGGACATGTCTCGAAATGATATCGAGGATCTTGAAAAGCGTTGTCAGGTGATTCGAAACTTCCCACCAATTTCGGATTGTGTTAAGCATCTCAGTTGTAAAGCATTGGTTTATTTTTCAGTAGATACTCCAGTTTCATCTAGAACACTTTCACTGTAATTGAAGGCGATTTCTTCTTTATTCTGTCATGGTTGTTCTTGCATACTCATTAAAATTGAGAACTATTGTAGGCTGCTGAAGCACGGTATGAAGAGCTCAGTTCGCGTATGCCAGAATCTACTAGACCCCTACTTAGACATATTGAAGCACTACAGGTATGTGTATATGTACTCTTTCTTGACACGAACTTGTAAGTCATTAATTTAGTTGTGGACCTTTGATTGTGCTGGTCCAAATAGCCTTGTATAAACTCATCCTTTTACGACAGAGAGGAGCGCTACGGGTTTAGAATGCTCAAGGATGTGGTTTGTTACGTAGATTGCAAACCTGTAATTCGTGTGGCTGGAACATGTGTATGGTCGATAGTTCCAAATCTTACTTGTCTCATAGGAACCTCCTGTTGATCAGTTGTTACATGGAACTTAAAAATGTATGCAGGAATCAATGACAATGCGCACAGAGGCATGGAATGGTGTGGAACGGTCATTGGATTCCCGTCTGCAGACAAGCCAACTTCTCTGCACTTTTATTTGTTGCTACCATTCACTAGTGAAAAATTAATAGTTAATTTATGATTTTCTACATCACTATAGGTTTAGTATATATATATATATATATATATATATATATATATATATATATTTTGTATGTGGAATGATACTAAAGTATATTTATGCATCGATTGCAATTCATGGATGCAGGAAGTGATCATGTGCTTACATTCTTGCGGGTGGATATGTGATATGTTTTGTGTGCGTTCCATGTTGACTGACTATTTGGAATTGTAATGAAATAACAGCAAGCAGAAGTCAGAGCTGCAGCAGCCCAAGAGAAGGAACGAGTAGTCAATGAGCGTCTCAATCAAACTTTGTCACGAATGGCTGTCATGGAAGCTCAGGTTTGATTTGGTATTTCGAATAAAAATCAAGCACCATTTATTTTTCCTTTTTTTTTGCTTCAGTTTTTGCGACTGCTCCACACGAAGTGCCTGTGCGACCTACATTCTACATTTCGTATGCTTGGAGAGTGGTTATGTGAATTGGGAGATTTGTAGTTCTGTTATGGATAATATCTTCAATCAGTTTTTCAGGTGAGGCTCTTGAGTCTGTCTGGAAAGAAATATTCTGAAATTAGGGTCCCCTACCACACATCATTACCAGTGTCGAATTATCAACTGCTACTGTATTCACAACATGTTTGTGCGTATAATACAGGTTAGCTGTGTCAGAGCAGAGCAAGCACAGCTTCAGCGGTCCTTGGAGAAGGAGAGGCAGCGAGCATCTGAAAATCGTCAGGAGTATTTGACTGCTACAGAGGCTGCTGCTACTCATGAAGGCCGGGCTCGCCAGCTTGAGGAGGAGATCAAGAAAATTCGCAAGCAGTATAAGACTGAACTTCATGAGGAGAAAGCTCGTCGGGAGGCTCTTGAACAGGTGTGACTGATGTGCTGCCATTTGAAAGAGGGTAGATCTTACGATTTTTTTTTTTTTTTTTTTTTTTTTTTTTTTTTTTTTTTTTTTTTTTTGCCTTTGCTGAGCTCGTCTTTGCCGCATTCACAATCATTTTTCACGAAGACAAGTTAATGTTAAATTTTTTGCTTTGAGAATTTGTATGTTGCGTCTGACACTGTCGAGGTAGTGCGTAGCCTTTTTGACGAATACGACGGATTACAGATTATCATGAATACACTATTTTGTGAACGGATAAATTCAATAGTCGCTTTTCATTGGTCAATCGTAATATTCAGGAAGTTGAACAAGAACGGGCAGCAATGGCCGAATACGAGAAACGCATTCGGGCAGAGGGTCGGGCTGCTGGAGAGAAAGCTGTTGCAGCCGCTCAACCCAACGACATTGGTGCGTTTCTTGCTCTTTTTCGTTGATTATTTTATATTATCAAAGTTATGATATCAAGGCCATGTCAATGTGAGAAGTCTTCTATGGCGCTGCAAATAGAAGACTAAGAGTTAGCTTCACAGGTCGACATTTTACCTTCAAACAGATTATTCTTTGGTTGATTGTTGTACACCAGAATTTTGTCCGACCTAAGTCTGGTTATACTCAGAATTATGAATTTAACATTGCTTCTGTTTAGTCACAAACATTTAACCAATCTCGTAGTAATGGGTCTGGCTGTCCAGGAAAAGCTTTAAAACGGTGGCCCAGCATGAGTAGTCAGGGCAGCGTGGAGGAGAGTCTTCTTTTACAAACCTCATTTGACACTCATCAAGACAAGTACTTTGAACATAGTGATAGTCACAGTTGCAGGTTCAGTTTTAGTGATCGTCCTCCTTCTCCAGCAATTCATTTTGGGAAGTTTACGTACGAACAGCTTGAAAGTCATCTACGGCAAAAGGAAGGAGAAGTGGCCTCTTATGCTTCACGATTGGTATGCTCGTATATCAAGTCTAACTCCAATAAGTTTTCCTTTTGGATCTATTTCTTTATTTGTTCTGGTGAACTTATCTTGTTACAATTGTACTCATTCTTCCAACAATAGCAATCATTTCATCTTTTGCTTACCCTGGTCTTTATTATGGACAAACAGGTTGCTTTGGAGTTGGCTCAGGATTCTTTAGCTGAAGAGTTGGTAAAGTCTACTACTCAGGTACTGCCATTTTTCCAAATCATCTTATGTGTCAGATATAAACTAAGTACCTATTTCTCAGTTGTCCATATTAAGTAACCGAAGGTAGGTTCCCGATGAGGAGGTGCTCAGTGCTTTTCTAAATATTAAGTGATTTTCTAGCACTGTCCATGAGTGACCATGTGACAAGGTTTACGACAGTTGTATGTACTCTCTCATAATTCTTCTCCAGTATTCCGTTTCAAACTGATGGACAATGGATTTTTTTAAGCATTGACTGGACTATGAACAACTCTTCATTGATGTTGCTAGCTAATACTGTCTTCGAAACGAAGGTATTGAAACTTGGGTCATCTGAAGGAATTTGTTAGTTTTATGTAGAATCTGATTAAGAGTTCTCCATGCATTTATCAGTTTTTCAAATTACAGCTAAAGATTGCGAGGTTATTCCTGCTCACACAAACTGCCCACCTTAACCCAAATTTATAAAGACGGTTCTTTCTGGCATTGTGCACTAAGAATCATAGAATATGAACGTTATTATGGATCGCTTGTCTTGAATATCTCTGTTACACTCAGAACTACATTTGTGTAGGATATTGTAGATTAGTTTTTGCGCAAAATTAGTCTAAAAATTCTTGTCGAAACTGTAGAGGAATCTCCAGAGTTAAGTATGTTTAAATTGAGTATTTTTCACGATTCTGTTACTTTCGTAACGCGTCAATATTTTAGGTCTGTCGAATTTATTCGGCAAAATTATACCTGCTGTCCACATGAGATAATATGTACACAAATTTGCAAGCCACGCTAATCCACAATTTAGTCGTATATTTGCTTTACAAGCCAACTTGCACTGATGTGGTTTTGCTAGTTTGAGCAACTTCGAGCAGAAGCCAATTTATTGCCGGGTATGCGGGCTGAGCTAGAGTCATTGCGCCTCAGACACACGTCAGCCTTGGAGCTCATGGGAGAGCGTGATGAAGAGGTCACTTCTTGTTCATTTTCTAGACATTCTTTTTTTCAGCTCATTACTCTTTAATCTGTCAAGGACAGAAAATCATCTTGATTGTTTCACTGATAGCGGAAGTGAGTGGATAGCATAATGCTAGTTTACTGAGAGTGCTGCACTTATTCTTGTGTATTGCGGTGTTTGATTACAGGTGGAGGAGTTAAGAGCTGATTTGGCTGATGTTAAACACATGTATCGAGAACAGATTGACATGTTAGTGGGCCAGGTAATTTTTTGATCTGGTCCCCAGTCACATTAGCATTGTGATACCTGAAGTTTTTTTAGCAGTTCTTCTTCTTCTCATTTTGAACATTTGATTTCTGACTTTTTCTCATTTTTGTCAAGTACTGTATCGTGTTGATTAAATGACCACGATTATATTGCTCAGATTACCACTCTGAGCAAAAGTAAACTTGTGTTGGCATGCAGATTGAAAGGCTCAGTTCAGCTGTGGGGCGCAAGTAATTTCAACTACATATATATTCTTCCAGGTTCTGACTGAATGTCATTGCTGTGTCACTGGTTGCACCCCTAATCGGGTAGTCATGCTACCTTGCGCATCTCACGTCTTTGCACATGTAATCAGGTCAGTGGTCTGCCTCAAATTGTTTGACGATATTTTTCAAAGCCTAAGAAAACCTTTTGCGTAGGAATTGGTTCTATTCAACCTATAACCCATATCACCAATTGTTTAAAATGTAGTGATCCGGTCAAAAACGTAATGCACACGTTAGGAGTAAGGTAGTTTAGAAACAGATTCGTTGAGAATTGCGTCATCCCCATTCATGACGCATACCTTTTTGATTCGTAATAAAGCACAAAACTTGCATTGGTGTCTAGTTGACTTAGACTTTAGTAGCTAATCAAATGCTTTCAGCCACAGAATGATGGCGTCCCTTGTTATACATATCAAATCTCAAGAAGATGGGATTTACATCTGTGATACGTATAGTCGGCAGTTTTGTTCATCGTTGTTTGGGTGTAAATGATGTGTGATTCTCCTTCAATGGGTTGTGCACTACTTAAGTTTTTACTCACTTCGAAAGTTTCAACTCCATGTACATGAGACCACAGATAGTTTGGAATGGGTACATCGTCTTGACGGTGGATCACAATTTTCCCCTTCAGACCTTACCTAGGATGAACGCTTTAAGTTTGAGTTAGCAGATAATCACAGCATCCTTGACGTTAATTTCGCAACACAGGCAGAGGACAGAAGTAATTTGGTGGTTGAAGGTACGTTCTGTTGGAATGGTAGTATGGGCGACTGCCCTCGACCCGTTCCTCTAAACAGACGGCAAATGGACCATTCGCCCAGCATGGGATCATCATTGGCAACGCAGCCAAAGCTACACTCGTATGGAACAATTCCACCCTAGTAGCGGATTTTCCACATCATATTTCATATCTGTTTTGGACCAAGACGACGAGTCATTTCTGCACATCGAACAGCGCGATCAGTTTCCCCAGGCAAACGAACTCCAGAGATTCACTTGGAATATAGAGAATCGGATACGATGGCATTCTACGTAGATGAGTCTTGATCCTCTGATTCTGGATCCCCTCGACTACCTGCATTTGAGTATCTGGGCACCTTTGCACACATTTTTAGCCTGTTGCCCATAATACACCACGCCCTCCTGGAAATGTTTCGGTGTGTGATAGCTCAGTTCATATTACGGAACGATGAACTTATCTGATCTCACCATCCCAGCAGAACTTTGGAAAGTATTTAAGAATTCGAAAGCTGATTTGCTTCATGAAGAAGGGCTTGCAGCAGTTGCACTCTACTCTTACAGTGTGCAGAGAATCTCCTCGACAGGGTTCTGGAATAGAAGAGATTTGTCAAGAGATTCATGAGATATCGAATATTCCAGACAAGCGGTCGTGACAGTCTAGAATCCAAATTTGTAAACGAATCTTGCTGCCGCTGAATCCAAGGGGAAGATTTGCCAGAGATTAAATGGATTCCTGCACAAGCGGGCCTGATTCAGCACACTGAGGTTTATTAAGCGGAGTTTAAATTAATGCAACAATGAGTCCTCAATCGAATTACAATTTACTTTTGAGCATTTTCCGCTTTGCTCTGGATCGTAGACCACGTCGGCCACAAAAGCGAGGGGTGCATTGCTGTAGATCACAAAGTCGAATGAGAAAGGTCCTCAAAGAGAGGTCGAAGCGAGCGCAGACTCTCAGGAGCCAAGAGCGAAGAATGAGAACACGGAGAGATCATCCATGAGTGCAGCTCTACGGTGTCCACTCATCCGAAAGAGAAACAGAAAGCGAAAAAGACCAGCGGTCTTTCCAAGTTCGTGTTCCTTGTTCAAGTCACATGCACAGAGTCGTAGGTAATTTCTTTTGGTCACAAGTGTCGATTTGTTGGTAGCGTTGAAGTTGCTTAGTTTTGTTCTTTTCACGGGTTGCATGCTGTGAGAATTGTTGTACAGAATGGAGCTGAGTGTGGTAAGAGTTGCTTGGGCAGCTGTAAGGTGGGCTATTGAGAGGGTGGCGGCTGGAAGAATTCTGGTTAAGTAATCTGCTTCAGGAATTTGAGAGGGTTTAGCATTATAGTTGCTAGAATCTGGATACGAGACAACCAGGGCGGAGTCTGAGGAGTTTCTGGGCGCGGTTTGTTTCCTTCTCCACTTCACTCATGACAGGGGCTTAATGGAGTGCATAGAAGCGTAGCGGATTCTAAACTTGACAAGACGTTGAGGGAATTTGGAATTGATAATGTCCAGGAAGTGAGGCGCAGGAGAAGATAAATTGTTGGGTTCTACCTAGTAGGAGTGATGCAGAAATTGGCGCAACTCCCGATTAGGGCAGGAGAGACGACTTCATTGTGGCGGATTGAGAGGCTGGACACGAGTTTTAGGAACAGAGAATGTAGATTTCAAGTGGTGTTAGTTAGGAAACATTCGCCTGAGCTGAGCTGTTCATTGTTTTCAACGTCATTTCCATCTTCCTCTTCCTCTTTATCTGGCTGCCAACTTCCCCGCACGTTTGTGCATCCGAGATGGAGACGGGGCTCACCGCGAGTTTTGTGTATGGAAGATGATACGGTCTCAAAATCCGAATTAGAAGAGCTGCCAGACATAGTGTTGAATGAAATCACAAGAGGGAAGGACTCTACGTCGGAGAAGGTTGAAGCTAGTTATTTTTCAGAGCTGAAGTTGGAGGAGATTGCGAAGACGCCGGCACCAGTGGCGGGTGAGTTCAAGGCTCGCAACCCGTTCGATCTGAGATGGATTGGCGCTTGGGCGGACGCACTTACTGAAAGAGGCATGCTCAAACGAAGAACCTTTTACAGCCATGACGACTGGTTGCGGCATCGAAGCTCAACGAGACATTACCGTCATTTTGCGTCTAGCTTTTCATCTCGAGCGATTCTGTCTTTGATTCCTCCTGTCGGTACCATGACGGCGATCTCAGTGTTTGTTGCTCTGTACAACACTGTTGTTTTATCAGGGTGGTTGCCGTCGTTTTTTCCTATATTTCACGCCTCATCTCTTTCCTATCAGTTGACTGCCCCAGCTTTGGCGTTGCTTCTCGTGTTTCGAACCGAAGCATCGTATTCTCGCTATGATGAAGCTCGGAAGACGTGGACAGAAGTTATTAGCAGTTCAAAAGACATGGCTCGCCAGGCTTTGGCGTGGTCTCAACACCCTGCTGATCACCGGAAGAAGAAGCTGTTACTGGACTACATTCTGGCCTTCCCCGTGGCTCTCAAGGTAATATCAGAACAATTTCCATGGTTTCGATGTCACCATTGTTCACATTTTACTCGAACACACGTAAACATTTGCCACTACATTGATTGTTGTTTGCAGCTGTGAAACATCGATCGCTCTATTCAATCCTTTCAATCTGCTTGGAGTGTAAGTGATCTCTTCAAATTGTTGTTCATGTAGCGATGTCGTTGCGTTGACTGACTTGGCTCCTTGCGCGCAAGCAGTGTCACCTTCTGTATGACTCAGATATAGCAGAAGAGCTGAGGGAGATTTTGGAAGAAGATGACCTTGCTCTTGTCCTCAAAGCAGAGCATCGGCCGAATTGTCTCATTCAGCTTATGACTCTATCTTTGAAATCCATTAAGTTTGAAGATGGCGAAGGAATGCAACTGGTCAGTAAGAAGAACTGCTTGATGATGCAATTCATCTTGTTTCTCACGCCCTCGTCTATTTGATGCATTCACCAGCTACCGTAGCTCATTTGTGTCTTGATGCTGGCTCTCTGTATCCTATTGCAGGATGCAAACATTTCACAATTTAATGAGAGTATAAGTGTATGTGAACGGCTGATTCGCACACCCATTCCCCTTGCATACACGCGGCTGACCTCACGAATTCTGGTGCTGTGGCACCTCTCATTACCTGTCGTGCTTTGGGACGACTGTCACTGGGTGGTTGTTCCCGCAACATTTATCAGTGCTGCCTCACTGTTTTGCATTGAGGAGGTGAGATACCTGTATTCTTGTGATAGCACATTTACGAAATCGTCACCTACGCATGCTCTGATGTAGTATTTGAGTTTAGTTCCCATCTTTCAGAAACACTGTTCTGCCTCGGATAGTTTCGAGATCTCATAACCTTAGTTCAGTTGTGCGGAATCCATTAACCAAACTTTCCTTATGGATTTCTTTAAGTACTAAATTTTCTAAATTTCCTAGTGTGTGTTCTTTGGAGTACTTGCTATGGCAGGTGGGGGTGCTCATCGAGGAGCCATTTCCAATCCTGGCGTTGGACCGAATGTGTGCCAAAGCACGTGAAAACATATTAGAGTTCGCAGATCTGCAAGTGAAAGCTCAAGTGCACTTGAGCAACAAGACCAGGAAATCACAGAGCAAGGTCGTCACGAATGGTGCCACCACGCAGTCATAAAGTTTTTTTGAACCCCTTTCCTGTATTTCACACACTGATAACAGGATGTACATTTGAGTATGTACTGTGCTGTATACTACATAGAAATGTGTTCACGTACTATAGTATCAATTGTTTTGAAATCTACTAGTTGACTTAGAACCTTGTAGCACTTGCTTTTATGCATTGAGCACAAGCTTTTAGATAATATTTCCATGAGGCTTAATAACACCTAAGACTTGCAATGTGCCTTTGAAGTAGGCATTGCAATTTTTTTCTTACAAAGTATTTTTTTACCCAAGAATAGAAATATAAGTAATTTCATTCTTAAAGGCCTCTATTCAAAATAAGATAGGCCTTTTAAATTTGAGACATCAGATTTTTTCATGGACTATATATATATACACACATGCACAACATATTTTATAAGGTTTTAAAGATATTTTTTTATTATTATTTGTTAATATATCATTTAATTGGAAAATATGAAATATCTTTGTGATTATTGTTTTGCAAAGATATTAATAGTTTTTTTTACTTATTTTGTTTGAATAAATTACAACGAAATTAAATTAATCATTAAAAAAACTATATTTTTTTAGTGATTTTAGAATATCTAAGCATCAAATCTTTGCTTTATGTTTTTTCAAATAACTTTTCAAATTTAGTTTTTTATTTCTATTTCACCTCTTCTTTCTATTTAAATACATACATAATATTGAACAATATCTCTTCTTATGCGTTGGTTATAATTTCTAGATTAAAATTACTAATTCTATGAAATAAAATAATATATTGTAATACTATTTTGTTCATGTTATACATAGAGATTGATGTTTTCAGCATTACTTGTGTTATTCTTTTGTTAGAACTTTGTTTTTGATTATCATCTATATATTATGTTGTTCCAATATGAATGTCCTTATATTCTTTTGATGTGTATTTTGGTTATAAAAACAAAGTTATAAAGTTCATGATTAAACTTGGGATTTTTAGATCAAACATTCTTAATTTTTTATGTAAAGAAATGAACTGCCTTAATCTCATTTGCTACTGTAAATACCAATTTTAAAATTTTCAAGTATATTTTTATGCTAAAACTAAATAATAAAAACTTACATACTTTTGTACAACTATATTGACATGCATTCATAAACTTCTTGGAGCATTATCTCAATATTCCATACCCCTACTCAATTTTTCAATCCATTTAAAAAAAAAAAAAAAAAACTTATTAATAATCATAGTTAAAAGCTAGTTTTAAAGTTTAGTAGTTTAAAAAAAAAAAAAAAAAAAAAAAAAAAAATTGTCAAAGTGTAGAGTACACCTAAAACTTAATATCAATGTTGACACGACATTTGCAGCAGGGACAAATAAAAACACTTTGATTTTGAAAAACTGTACAAGGCATTGAAAGGGATGACCAAGTTATATCCTGCAATATCAGAGTTAAACTTCTGGTGATACTCGAAACATTCCTCACGTTTTTATACCACAACCTTCACCCACATACTGCAGCCGTGCCACACTAGATGACAAGCATGTCCAAACTATGCCTGTCCCCACGTCAAATTTGATAGAATGACCAGAGAATGAACCGTTGGAGGGGCTGTGTAATGACCTCGAGTTTCCTCTCCCTTGAAGTGTAAAACAGCCACCTTGTCAGTTCGTTCCACTAGACAGAATGGCGTGAACAATCTAGCAAAGTTGTTTTACACGTCGCCATGGTGACAAGTCAGGACATTCTTCACCATGGAGCCCACTCCATGCTTCTTCGGCTCTTGAAAGGGGAGTTCACCAGTGATCTTCATCAGCTCAGCTTTGTCCTTCAATTCGGCAATTTCTCGTAACTTCGCTTCCTCCAGCTCCGCCTTTGCCTGCATTGAAAACCATGTAAATCCCAATCATCGGCGGAATAGTTAGACAGTTGAAAACATAGAGTAAATACGCATCAACCAAGAATAACCCAAATGCATGCATGCATGCTAAAAACTTGCGTCAGGAAAGGAAAGATTTCAAGTTTATGTACAACTTAGTGCGTAGAAATTTGGTACAAACAAACGTCCTGATCACATTTCGGCAACCAGAGTCTAAGAACAGTGAAAAAGATTGGAGATTTAGAGGATAGCAGCCTTACCCGCTCAGTTTGAGAATGTGAGTCAGCGATCCCTTTCTCGCATACCTCTGCAGCATGTGCTTTTGCTCTGATTGCTTCCTCCTTGGCATTCGCTACAATTTTATCAGCTTTCACCTGCAGAAACGCCACCACATGTTCAACAAAGGACAAGGAAGTTCGAAAACCTGTAAGGAGAACCGACATCTTTTTCGCAAAGTGCCGATAATAACGCTTTAACAACCAACTGCAAAAGAATGGAACACACCTCAGCAGCGCGGATAGCTTGCTCGGCTTTCGCCTCCTCCCGCTTCTTATGCTCAAGAGCTCGTGCTTCATCCTTCATCCGCTTCTGCTCAATCTTTGACTGCAGCTCATCCCCAGGTACACACAAGGAGATGGATTAATGTAATGAACAAGATTTTCCATCATGTAGCCATTCAAATACTGACGAAATGAGATTGGACTTCCCGATCTTCTCATGACTAGAGCAAGCTGAAGCCATTCAAGTGCGTCGTGTTGCAGAACCAAAGTATACACGCGGATCATTTGGTTTGAACCAGCATCTAAAGAACGATAAAGAGGGGGAAAATACCAAAGCTGTAGCTGTCCGCGCCTCAGCCTTGCGAATCTCTGACGCCACCCAAGCATTGATTTCCGATTCGACCCTCTGCCTGTGGGCGTCTCCAAAAGCCTCTGCCTTCACATTCCGACTTGCGGGAGAGGATGGACCTTATCACCATACCATGCCAAAACCATAAGGATCTTTTTGGAAATTTCGGAAGAGAAAATATGTGGCATTACGTTACGTGTAAAGTTATTTCTGGTATGAATGCGATTTCAAATGCTTTTCAAAGCACAAGTTCGTGGCTAGGCCGCACCACGACTACGAACTCGTTCATATATGGAAGCCTTCGACACAAGGACTTCATTCAGATTCATCATCTTAATACAATAACACTTGACGCATTATTACGAAACAATCAAAATACCACACAAAGCAATCGCTATACGTTCCGATCTTTAAACTTATCACCATCATGAAATGCCACTTCGCAAACAACCAAGAGACATTGCCAGCTTCTTACTATTTGGGCTGAAGCTATTCGTATGTGTCGTCGACACACCGTCTGCGTTCATCATAGTTGGATTCGCCATGCTTCCAGCCATAGTTTCCCTCTCTTCCTTCTTTTGCACTCAAAACACACACAAATTTCAAGCAAAATCACACTTCTGCCGCCGTGTAAAACTGCCTCAGAATTTCCCCCAGCCCACACTGATCTCTCCTCTGACCCAACAACTACAATCCAAATCCAACAAAATCCTGTCTACAGCTGTGTTAACTTTCGGAGCAAGTGAGCATAGGTAAGCACTTCTGCGCCCAAAAAGGACAATCCAGCAACTATACACACCGCCAGGCACTCGCTCTTGTGCGATGCAATTCATGCAAACTTACCAAGGTGGGTTTCGAGAGAAAAAGGCTAAAACCTGAGATTCTCGCCAAGTGTGAAGGACAAAAGGGACCCAGCTGGCAACTACCTTGGACGTGGCCTCTAGTATGACTTTTGCCAGCAAGGCAGCTGAGGTGTCAGAAGATGCCGCTTTGCATATCAGCAGCAATTGACACGTGTCAATCACAGAGCCACCACAAAACTTGGCTTTTGGAACATGGCACAACGTGAAGGAACAGAGGTATCTGAGTTCCTCCCGCAGAGTCATTTACTAGCATCCAGGCTTACCGTGTTTGTGAGGGATAAGATATTATTTTCTTACACAGGGTTGGGATGTATATTTCTGGACCGTCAGCATCTGAGATTATGCATAGCAATTTGGTAGCTCATTTGTGCCTATTCTAGAATAATGGGATACATAGCGCGCAGAGATTACAGTAGTGCGGAGGAACTAAAAAGAACAGTAGCGTATGTCTCATAGATCGACTTACTGAATGAAATCATCCTACCGAGTGACCAAATGATGTACTCTTCAATGTCGATGTGTTTTCCCTACGATGGTAAAGGTTTTTCAGTAAGGGAATGAGTGAGCTTCTCCGACATTCTCGTTATGTTACCTACCATCTCCACCATAGCCTCAATCAAATGCGACACCAACAAACGTTCTACCAATAATCCCGCGGTAGAGTGGAACACGCACCCCTCCTCAACCACAGCGCTCATCATCTCCCTCGGAATCCCATTGTAGGAAAACCTCCCCCTTGTTCACTCCGCCTAACCGCATGCAGATGGCAAAGATTCGTCAAAATTAAATGCCCCCACGGAAATTGTCAGCAACCTAGTGTACTCTTGAATCACTCTCCACGCCTCTTGTGAGCTCTTTCGGTCATCCACAATGACGCCTTCAAGTACCACCGTCTGTTCCGCAGCAATCAACAGCACCGAGACATCTTAACGCTTTCTCCTCGTGCTGGAATTAAACGCCAGCTTCGCCAAAGTGTCCTCCGCTTTCGCGTGCACAAGCGTCACCATCAAATCCTCCACTGCGGGCGCTTGCAGGTATCGCTTGTCAAAGTCCGCAGTCAGTCGTAAATTCCTCGCACCCATGTGCCGCAACATGGTGCACTGCAAAAAGCATAGCAGCCATGGCTATGATGTTATTTATTAAGCAGTTGGAAGATTAAAATAGGTCAGCAGTGCATAGCAACGATACAAGCATGCAGTCTAGCTCCGTTGACAATAAGTGCATCTCCTAAAGCTGAACTTCCGGATGCTTGAGAGAACTTGACATACTGCAAATGCTTCAATAGTAGTTGGAATTACGCGATATCCCAGTGAAAGTAGTCAAGAAAGACCAAATACTTTTCGTGAGTAGCTCAGACACCCTATATACAGATTCAAAGTTGACAATTACTTCTCAAAATCACCTGAGTTACATCACAGAAAACAAACTAAACAAGCGGAAAGTGATACAAATATTTTACGCGAAGGAGAACCGAAAGAAATTCTCACAATTTAGGAGCCAGCACAGTAATTCTAGAATTTTAACACTTTAAAAAATAAATGAACGAAAAAATTCTATGGAGCAGAATTATGGAGATGAAATTACTAGGTCAAAGTAGAAATTCTTTTCCACGAGAAAGCCAATAGGCAAGTAACACACCACAAAAATGCTCACATAGTACTCTTAAGAACTTAAAAAATGCACAATATAATCTTCGGTGATGTAAGGGAAAGATTGAACTCGGATTAGAACACAAAACACACAGATGCAACCATGAATAATTCAATCAATGCTAAATATATTAAAAATCTCTGTAAGAGTCGAACTTCACATCTGCCCTAAAAAAACAGACCAACTCCTATCACACTAAAAAACCGCTTGCTCAACCACACTCCAATTGGGCAATTGTGGGTAAAGCCACCAACAAAACGACCCATCAATGAACAAGAAATCTAATATTGATATCTCATCATGTGAGAATACTAGCTCTGACCTCAAACAAACTAAAACCAGCTCACCTATTTTAAAACCCTAGCCAGAGCAACAAAAGAACGCCTATAGAGTACAGACAATAACTAGAGAGCTAAAATTAACCATCTCAAGCTTCCTCATATGCACAGCCCAACCTACAGCTATAAGTTTACGAAAGAAATACCTCCTACAACCAATGGCTACCTATCAAGAATGATGAAGTCACCTCCATCGTTCACTAACACCAACCATCAAAACCCACTTCACCAAGACTCTCGCCCCCCATCCACTTTCATCCCACCACTACCCACCGCCGCAAAGATTCCATCATTCACGACCAATCCTCCTTTGGCACTCTCTATACTCCGCACAAAATCGCACCATGTGCGATCGGCGAATCGTACCCCACCCCTACACACTGCCCTCCTTCACGGCACAAAACTGCACTCACACATGCGCGTCACCCAACCACTCTCCTCAGTCCACTAACCGCGGTTGCTCATGGTACGTGAACAGCTGCGCCGCCGAATCCTCGAAGCTCTGCTCAGCTGGGACCTGCCCTCTCGCAAATCCTTCCTCCGATCCCCCACCACCCACAAACCCATCCTGCCCCGCGGCCGAATGCAGCACCTCGTTCATCGACCGGTACGCCTTCTCCTTCGGTGGACACACCCGCCCTGACGTGCTCTCCCCCCCGTCTTTTCCTCCCAACTGCTCCCGCACCAACCCCTGCGCCAGCGATGGGAACCCTTCTTTCGCCATAAACCGGGCATCCGTCGGGGAAAACCCATGCTCGCTCGATAACAGGATTGGGTTCATCGACACCACAAATGTTTCTGACGAACGCACTCCGCCACCTGCATGCTGCTTTGCCACTCTTGCCAGCTCCCTCTCCCGCTTCCCCTTCTCTCCTGCTGAACACCGCACCACTTTCCCTCTGACCACCACGCTCGCATCCATCTGCCCAACCCCACCTCTACTCGCTGCACCTAGACTCTTCTTCGTGCCACTCACCCTCGCCTTTCCACTTCCTCCCTCCGCAAGACCCCAACCCACCTTTCCGGCTCCCCCGTTGCCCCTGCCCGCCCCGCTGTCACTGCTCTCCCCTTGTAAGCACCCCTCCCCATTCCCACGCCTCAGCTGCACTCCCATCTCTTTCCCTCCACAAGACCTCCGTCCACACGCACTCCCAGACTTCGCCACCTCTGCACCTGCTGGACAACGAGAATTCACGTGTGGTCTCAACGCCGAATGATCACCAACGTGGCCCTGAAACAGACGTGCACCTTGCACCCACAACGTTGGCATCAAGCTAGTCCCTGCCTCTTGTTGCGACTCTGCACGCTTTGCGTCCATCGTCCCAACCAACCGTGCGCCCTGGTCCGCCGTCGGAAGCTTGTGAGCAAACATCACCACGTCCTTCCCTTCTTCCATTGCCGTAATCTCCAATCGACTTTCGTGTTCTACCGACGACCTCGTGTCCCCGCCATTTCTGTTCGATGGACATGCTTCCTCTCCTTCATCCCCGTTCTCCCCATCCACCTCCTCCGATCCCGACACCGACGTCACACCACGCACCGCTTGTCCCTCCTCTACCCGCCTCTGCTCCCGCTCCAACTTCCTCAGGCTTCGCTCGATGCGGCCCAGCTCGCTACCTTCCCTCTGCTTCTCCGCCTCCAGTTCCGCGATCCTACTCAAACGCGCCTCTTTCATTGACTGCAGCTTCGACCTCCTCGTCTGCAGCCCAGCCAGAACCTCCCGTTTCTTTGAACCTCCTGCATCCCCCATGTTCGGCCCTGCCATTCAGCCGAACCTTACGTCACACACCACCTATGAACCCAGCCTTCATCACAGCCAGCCCATCGGACGTATCCACCATTCCACTATTCCTCCCTCTCCGAATACCAACATCGCACCACCCACGTCATTCACCAGATCGACTCGCCAAATGGCCCTCGCGCGCGCGCGCGAACACACTCACACACACACACACCATCAACACCGCACAAAACCACTACAAGGGTAGCCTGGACCTTACCACTCACGCCGGTGCCCACCACCTTCATCGACTTCTTCGTGACTTTGCTGCACTTCTTGTGCTCTTTCAATATGTGAGCTCGCAACTTGTACTCCTGACAGTACCTCTTATCGCACCTATCGTACGGACACTCGTGGTAGTCACCCGTATGAGTCTTCATATGCGAGCGCAAATTAAAATCCAGCGAAAACGCCTGCACTCCACCACGACACGCGCACACATCCACCGTCAATGCCCACCTGCTCGCCCCATCGCACTCAAACCCAACGCAACCCAAGCAACAAATCCTGTACCTTGCCGCACCCTTCGTACTGACACAGAAATGGTTTCTCGCCTGTGTGAATCAGAAAGTGCCGCTTCAACTTCGACCTTTCCGAAAAGCTCTGCCACCACAAACACCGCGTCAGCACACACCATTCTTCACCCTCACACACCAACTTCCATATGCCCCGCCAACATAATCATACTTGCCGAGATTCCAAACCTCTCGCGGACACGCTGCCACCCACATAGCCGTGCCGATCGTGGCCTTCCAGTCTACCTCTGAACCTGCAATCACATCCGAATCCAAAGTCCAAGATAACCCACCTTGACGCAACCCTCGTAGTGGCACACGTATGGCCGATCCCCGTGCACCCGTGCATGAGCGTACAAAGACGCCGCCTCCACAAATCGCTTCTTGCATCCTTTCACATTGCATGCGAAGATCGCGCCTGCTTTGCATTTTCCATGCCATTAGACCACAACTCCCACCCACAGAGCCCACACCCATGCGCCATACATCATGCAAGACATCAACGCCAAGCTCTATACCACTCCAATACAATGCTCGAACCAGCATCGACACTCTCGCACCTCACCAACGCCAACGATGAAACCAACACTCCGCAACCACACGAGACGCAAAACCGCCGCACGTTGTGCCCGTGACACTGTTTCCCAGACCCCTCCACACCACACAATTGTGCACGACTGCGAAGGCTAAGCGCGCACGAAACAATGAAGACGCAGACACGTTTACTGCACTCGCTCTTGCCACGAACTCCAATAATTCACATCGTTTCTGACGTTCGCATGTACCGTTTCTTCCATGCCGCGGCCGCTTAGTGCTGCCCGAATCCAGAACCGCCTCCATCGTCTTCCTTTTCCCGCAGCTCGCCAGTGCTGAAACCTCCGTTTCGCCTACCTCCACAATACCCTCGAATGTGGTGCCTTTTCTACACCGCCCGCGCTTCCTAGCCGAGCCTCCTTCCACGGCTTCGTCCATGCTCACATCCTCTCCTACATCACCGCCACTACACGAGTCACACCACGCTCATGCCCGCATTCTCCCCCTCCACACACCTTCCAACTCACTCGGCCTCTCGCACACAGCTACTCAACCTCCCATCATCCTCACGACACCTCCGCACTCGGGACACCACTGCCTTTCTATCTTCGCCTCATGCGTACCTTTCATGGGCTCCGAATAGTCCCCGCACACGGCCGCGATGCTCCGAACACGAACACGCTTCGGTAAGCTGTCGTCTTCCGAGTCGTCACCTGCGTCCTCCCAAAATCAAATACACGTGACCTTCCGCAACTCACACTCACCCCACATTCAATGCTTCCAGCCATCCAGTACTCCCAATCCACATACACTGATTCACTCAGTACGTATCCTGCGTCAGAAGCAACCTTTGTTCTTCTCACTCCTCTCGGAAGCAAGCCTCTCATCTTGCCTTCCGTGCTATGCTTCTTACGGCTAAAACCTGGCCAAAACCAAAACTTACTCTTGTGAGCAGAACCGTGTCCGACCTAGCATGGAATAAGATACAAGTTTCTACCACATCGTCCGTCACGTCACAAATCCCGCACCAACCATGCAAACCCACTGCGAACCACTTGTTCTGCTACCATTCCCCTCACGTCTGCTCCCCCGCATACACACCCCCACCCGCACGCTTCCAGCAATCACTCCAACCGCCTGTCTCCGACACTACATGAACGGGAAGTCACCCTCGGTGTGGTGAAAACTGTTGAGAAAGACCACGACCAAGTTCCCGACTAACCCACCACCAGTCCAGGAGTAGGGCGATACCAGGAAACCGTCGCTTGACCCCACGATTCATCCGCACAGCTCTAGGCTCTTCCACCTTGGGAGCTGCCCGCATGTTCGCTTTCCACTCGCCTGACTTCGACGGCCGCCCTCTTTTCCGACGCACCGCTGGCCCGTCTTGAACCTCTCCACTCTCACCATCGCAATCGCTGTTCGACAAACTCTTCTCCCCCAGCTCGACCCCATCCTCCGCACCACCTGCACAGCCCCTCTTCTCCCCCTCCACCCGCGCCCCTTCTGCCGCTCCCGAGTGCCTCTCACCGCCCGCCGTCATCCCATTGTGTCGGTCCCCATGCTGCACAAACCCATTCTCTGCAATGTTCCCACCACCATGCATTTCTTCCCCTCCTCCTACAGCTCCGTCATCCCTCTCCTCCGAGCTACCCCCACCATGCACCCCGTCGAAGCTCCCTCCGCACTCCTCCGTCCTATTCTCGTCGTTGACTCCATCATCCCTACCCTCCATGCCCACACTCTCGCCCAATCCATGCCGGCCTTCACTACCATGTCCCGCCTCCGCTGACGATTCCACGCCATCCTCTTCACCACTGCTGTTCTCACCGTCGTCTTCCTCCACATAGATGCTCGCTATATGTTTCAAACAATTCTCCCCGTGAACGACCATTTCCAACATTTTACCTAAGCGGTCCATTTAGCCTCACTTGGTCTCCACAGTGTCGATCACAATGTCAGCCATACCATCCTCTGCCGCACGACGATGGACTTTCATCTTCAAACCTCTGTTCTAGGAGTGCCGCATGCAATCCACCCTCTTTCTAAAGTCCCACTCTCCAGTACAAGAAGGTCGCCCAAGCTCACCCTGCTACGGCGTATGCACTCATTGCTTTTCAACCGTCTCCGTCTAATCTGTACACGGCGTAAACAAAACTCTGCTGGAGTTCTCTTCAGGAGTTTCGCATCCAATCTTAAGGCCTGACATACAACGGTCAGCACGGCCTCCACACATCCTGACTGTGCATCAAAAAAAGGCACAAAGAAAAACCCCAATCAATCCACCTGCACAAACCACCCCATGCCGCCCGCGTAGACATCAGCCTCCCACATGTCACCAGCTTCAGCACGAGCCTGGGCAGCACTCCAGCTAACGCATTCGCCCAACTCTCAGCACCTGCAAACAGCCCGCCACCCACAAGTTGGCGGGTGCGAGGGGGAGGAGGGAGAAGAAATACAATTTGAAGTAGTCAAGTAACTTACGAAGTCTGCTGCAAAACCAACCGTCCACCGCCAAGTTCCGCACTGGATAATAATCGATATTATTCCGCATTCAGCCAGAATGCTATGCCGTGCGTCCATCACCAAAAAAAAATCGCTCCACTTCTCCTGCATGTATCTCCTCCATGTCCCGCCAGTGCTGCCACTCTGTCCCTTAGATACAAGCTTGACAACTTACAAACCACAATCGAATAATTTGAAATGCTAAAATCTCCTGCATATGCGAACGACGCTGCCATGCGGTGCGCACAAAGTCACCACTAACCGCGGAACATAACTCCCTCTAACCTTTACGTGCATGCACTTAAGCCCACGCACTCGTGCCAGTCTCATGCCAAGTTCAACTCACCCACACGCGCACACGACCCCCCATCAATACCATCTGAACAACCACGAGGACCTCCACTGCCGACAAAGCGAAGCCACTCGCCCAAAAATCAAAACCCTCCGTCGTCCACAGCCTCGTTCACTACATCCAATGCACTCGTCTACGCACCCACTCTCCCCTCATCGTGCGTCTCTCCTACGCCCACTCTCCTCACACCCTTGTCTAACCCAAAATCCCCCACCCCCGTCGACGATTTTCTCCCTTCAGCCAAACAATGAGTCTCCCCTCCGCCTTCCCTACATCGCCACACGCTAGCCCTCACCCTCACAAGCACCACACCCTAGGACCATCCATATTCATGGAAATCCGCTCCGGCTACGCAGTTACGCAATTACGCTAACAACCCAGATCTGTGCAGCAGCAGCAGCAGCAGAACCGATCTGCAAGCGGGTCAGTGCAGAAAAAGCACCTAGCGCATCGTGCTGTTCGTCAAGGGTAGGGCACATGCGACGCCCCACCCGCGCCTCATCGACATATCCCACCCAGAGCAAACTACCCACCAAGCTTGCCCAGCCTCCCCAGTGCCCACCAAGCGCAAGCACTCACTGGATACAAGAAGACCAGCGAAGCGCAAGCGAGGCAGGCAAGCAAGCAAGCAGACAAAGAAGGAAACGCGGGGGCGAAGCCCGCAGCGAGTGTTGCGAAAGCTAAAGAGCGTTCAAGGGGGAGTGAGTGAGGTGCTGCTACTGCTACTGCTACTGCTACCACTACTACTGTCCAAGCGTCGTCGTCGTCTCCATTGTACTACGTCGCTCTGGTTTGTTCAGGACCTGTGACCAGCACCCCCCCCCCCCTTTCCCCTTGACCCCTTTTAATGGCACTTAAATGATTGAAATCTGGAGTTAAGTGTACCCATTTGAACGTCTTTCCATTGATGTTGAGTATGGAAGGGTGTGAGGATTGTCTTCACTGGCCACTTCGACCAATTATAACGTGCATTGTTGCATTAATGTCAAGCCTGGAGCTCGTCCACTGCCACCGTGAGTTCCTGCAATAAATGTGTGTAAAATAGGACAATGCTGCCACATTACAGGAAGTGGGTTTACTTTTGATCCATATATATATATATATATATAAAGAATGTGTTTTGAAGCTGAAAACAAACTAGTGGAGAGATCTTTGGAATGTGTATCTAATGTTAAGCTTCCAACATTACGTGCGCACATGCAAAGTTATAAATATTCCAGATGCTTGAAAAGTCGTACATTGCTTATACATAATTTATAATGATCAGAAGTTCATATGTTTTAAATGTTTGTTGTTACTTGATTTATCATTTTTGTAAAGACATGAAGCTTTCATAAATTAAGAAAATAAAAAGGAAAAGGAAAAATATTTATATTGTTTGATTGGAGCACAATGAAAATCGTATTTAATATAATTTAGGGATTAAAAAGGTAAAAAACTTAATCTTTAAAAAGAATTATACAAATTTATAATTGTTATTAGTTTTTGCTCAGTATCAAGTCTGTATTCTGATTTTCAATACACTATTTCATCATATTAAATTGTGAGATATTATAAAAAAATGAAAAAAATCAAATTATTTCACGATTAAAACAATCAAAAGTGTATTTAAAAGTATTTGGTAGTTTTATTAGATTAAAATGTACTATTTATAAAAGCTTATGTTGTTGTTTAAACAAGTGTAGTTGTATTTGATCTTCCAAAGTGTATAAATATTTTTTCTACAACAAAAAATGTAAATATTTAGTAAAATTATATTTAAAGAATGACAAGAATTTATATAAATTAAGAATAACAAATTTTGTTAATATAATTGACTAAACTTTGTTAAAGAATGTTTGTCAACATGAAGTGGACATTTCACACATTAAAGACATATTTGCTTTAGTTTAAAAAAATACACACACACACATATATATATATATATATATATATATATTTATATATATATATATATTTATATATATATATATATTTATATATATTATGACATATTTCTTTTTTATTACAAGGTTGATTTGTATAGAAAATTATTTTTTATTTAAATAATATCTGATAGATATAATAATAGCATGTGTAGTTATGTTGGTAATAAAGGTATTATTTTGATATAATATTAGATTTAGTTGACGTTTTGATAATTTAAATGATTATAGACTTATACCAATTTTAAACATAAAAAGTAATGTAATTGCATATTGATTAATTTTGGTTAATATATTATAAGCAAGTTGTTATAATAAAATAAAAACTAAAAACATGTTCAAGTATCAAATTACATATAAAGGAGGATTGTTCTTTTAATTATGATACACATCTAAGATAAAAAAGGTATAATTATTATAGAAAGTAAAAACCTTTGTTTTAATTAAAATGGTAAAAATTTAAAATATAAAAAAATATTAGCATTCTAAAAAGAATAAAAAATCTAATAAAATTACTTTACGTTTTATTGATAATTTTTTATAATGAAATTTAAAGTTCTATTAATAAAATAATTTATTAATTTGAAAGACTATTATAAAGAATTGGAATAAAATACATAGGGATAGTAATTTTAATTATTAAATTTTTATTTTTTTATTTTATTTACTTAAATAATTTGCATTTAAATTTTTTTTTTCTCCATTAACACACAATTATTGTGATAACCAATTCTAAACAAACATATGCTTTGGTTTCTACTTAGAAGAAATCACTCTTTGTATTGAATGTTACATGATGTTGAAATAAATATTATATAGATATTATCTTCTTATTTATTTTTTTATAATTAGATATGTATAGAAATTCAACTATGACACAAATGTCAAAATTGCACTACTTACAAAAATTGATACATATGACTATTTTACATTTAAATATGTAATATTAATAGTTATGCCATCTTTTCTTACATAGATTATATTTAAAATAAGGTAATGAAATTAAATTATCAATAAAGTCATACTATCAATTAAGTCTTTTATTGCCCTTGCTTGCTTGAAAGATGATGCATAGCACTTATTGAATAATTATTCTTAGATCTTATATTTTTGTACTTCTAAATTTTTGTACTAATATTATAATTTCATTTGTAATGACAACAATTTTCTTGTTATATAACTATGGCATAGACAAAGTGCAACTTCTTGAAAGTATTTTAATTTTTTTAATAGTAGTGGCTTTTTATAAATCTCAGTACCAAATCTATCCAATTCATGAAGCAATTCTATTTAGTTAGGTGATTCCAATCTCATTTGTTTTATAGATTTGTGGTCTTTTAATTCCTACCACTTAGTTAAAATGTTGTATGAAAAATAGAATTTTTTTAATGCTTTTTTTGTTATTGGCCTTCTAGTTCTTCTTGAATCTTTAAAAAAAATATATATAAGAATAGATTGTTTATTTTGTTATAGTTCTACATTGTTGATTAGTGGCTTAAGTCTTAGACCTATTATAGTGATAAAATTTTAAAAAAACATTGATTGGTATTTAGTATGATTATAATTTTTAAAAGAACTTGATTTCTTTAGATGCATCAAACTTGATAGGATTAGAAATCTATATAGGATTGATAGGATTAGAAATCTATATAGGATTGATTAGAATAGAAATCTATATAAATTTGTAGGATATATTATCACAGATGTAATTATTGTTGTATCTAATTGAAAATCATACTTAGTTGATATGACTTAATTATAGCATGCACAATCAAATTATATAAGTAATCAAGAACTTATAGAACTATACAAGTGCCAAAATCTAAACAAAATACATTCTTTCAAGGTAATTTTTTGTGAATATTTAGAAAACATTGCAAGAACAACTTCAAAATTATTGTCTATTGATTTAAAGGTATTTTAGACTAAATATGTTAAAATTTTTAGAAGCTTACATAATTTGCTTTAAAAGTTTGAATACTATATTTTATTTATTTTATAAATGACTACTAATATAAAGTGCGGATATGTATGTTGAAATATATTTTTTATTTTTATTTTTAAAGAATGGAACATAATGATAGATTTGATATAAAAAATAGAGAATAGAGTTTTTTTTTTTTTTTTTTTTTTTTTTTCTTGTTAAAGCTATCAATGATGCTAATATTGTGGTAAGTCTTTTTCTATCTTTTTATGAAAAAAATGTGAATGGGCATAGAATAAGGAATCTAAATACAAGTTAGATTAGTTTGAGTAAAGATGTAAAATTTGATGAAACTTCTATGTTGAAAGACATTGATGAATATAAAGAAAAGGATAATCAAATCACGTTTGATATTTTAAGAGTAGAGTTTGATTTTTAAAATTTTATATAGCTTTTAAAAAAACTTTAGATCTTACTAATTTTGAAACAATCAATAATAAAAATAAACCAAGTTTATAATTTCACATGTTATTAGGTAAAAGTAAAACAATTCCAAGTTGTTAATTGGCAATTCTTCTAATTTTATGTCTTTTTGACAAAATCTTGGAGCATATTTGAAGATTGGTTCTCTTGTTAGCTCCATGTACTACATGAGTATTTTATCCATTGTTGTAGATAATTGACAAAAAGCTATAATCAAGACACAATCAACAAAGAGTACTAACAAATATATATATATATATATATATATAATTTTTTGTATGATCAACTTATTAAGATTTCTTGTTTGGTGGATTTTGTAATGTTAACAGCCTGCTTTGATTGAGGGAGTGTTGTGCGAAGCAGAGATGGCTCGGTGACTCTATATCTTTGATGCCCGAAGCAGCAGTATGAATGTGTTGAATTGTTTTTGAGGGGTTTGATCATTTTGAGCCAGCTGCAGTTGAGTGATTGATGTGATTGAATTTTATGTGCGCCACGGAATTGAATGTTCAGGCATTAGAATGTGTGAAATTCCTCTTGAGATTCATGTCATTGGACAGAACAACTGTCGTCCAGACTTTTCTCTTTCGTGTTGATGGGCTGTCGGTTCGCACTCCTCGATGATATGGATCTAGCGAAGGAGACGCTTTTTTGGTGTTTCAGTAGCAAAGTGCATCATCAGGTAGCTCCACAATGAGCTTTTAACTCACAGAAGGGCGCCACCTGCGGTGCCTTGTGAGCTTAAACTAACGCAGGGCACTTTTATTCCTCTACAGTGGATTCCTTGTAATTTTTCTAATTTTTTAATTGCAACAATTCTACTAGACGATCCACATCTATACAATGGTCGACTCGAATGTTTCAAAAAACATGTTGTCGAAGACCAATCTTATCATTAGCATGCCTTTGCATATCTTAAAAATAAGCTGATTTTGGCGTGTAACCGAACAGATGCAATATTTCAGTCAAATTACAAACTTAAGACCGAACCAGTGTTTCTTCTCAAGTCCATTTGCGGATTTGGTGCAACTCTTGAATGCCGCTCCTTTTGATGTCGGTGCAGGTCTTAGTGTACGTTGCAATGTTTATGACTTTGAACCTAACATCTTCTTTGGTTTTTGTCGATGGCTTTGAGCCAGAGAAATCTCCAATCTTTGATAGAATATTGGAGTTGAGGATCGTTATCTGATGCCCTCTCTGATTTAAGCTCTCAGCAGCGCTAACTTTTTCGGAGTGATAATTTGAAAACACAGTTCAAGTCGATGAAAGAGACATGATTTGTGTTGTCTGTGTCTGCCGTTTTGGGTTCTGTCCATTTACGCGAAGCCGACATCCTTAAAGTTTTAGGCACATTAATGCGTCTAATTCCAATAGTCTGAAAGTCTATCCTAAAGATGGCGATCTATGAATCTTCGTCACTGATATATATAT